CTGAATAATGGGACGAGGCTTAATACACAAATAAGCGAGGAACTGTTGGCCGAAGACATTTAAATTCAAATCACAAATAAAATAGTTCCATTTGCTGTCGAATTTCCTCGTAATGTAGATGTGGGAATGTGGGTGATTTCAGTTGAAGTCTACAGGGAACTTGTTAAAAAATTGAAATATTTTTTTCTGTTTAGTCTGGAGCATGTAGTGAGTATGTACGAAAGACGAGTCTGGTTCTATGGACCAGCCCATGCAGAGCACAATCCCTAAAACCAGCAAGTGATGGAAAAAGTCGCGTGCAATCACATTTAAACCTCCAGGGCAGAAGAGGTATTGATTGCATTTATTTTCGACTCGTACAATTTGTCGATAGAGGTTTTTAGTTACATCCAAGTCTCACCCTCCATTTTTGCGACCATAATTTTTTCCTATCAAGAATCGGAGACTGAATAAGCACTTAAAAATCAGCAAATAAAGCCCAATACACGCACCGTAAAAAACACACTCATAATTCTAATTGTCCCAAACATTAGCCGTACAAATTCAAACACTGAAAAACAGTTATTACCCAGCATGCAGTATGTATCAAGTTAGACACATCTGCAAATATTCTAAATTTGATTTAGCGATGGAGATGATGTTCGACTGTATCGTGCATCCTCGAGGCTGCGGCTAATTGTCTTCAATTACTTGGCTGGATGCACAGCAAACAATACGTTGTGTTTCAAAAGAGCAATTCCTCGGGGGGATATTATATTTTATCTCTTTCTGTCGCCCTCAGACGTTTTTATCCACTTCTTTTAAATTCAAAAGCCTGTGAATACTGGGTAATTATTACACAGCTGTTCTGTTAAAGTCAAAGGGCAAGTGATCGCCAAAAATAACGACACATAATAGATTTTCATGACGAGGATAATTGTGTATCGGGTTCTCTTCTCTTCTGAATCTTCCTGGATCTTAAATCAATTAAATATGTGAAATATGATACCAAACTTGAGACTTTGGAGATTGATGGCTGTCAAACTGGTGACACCAAAAAACGTGTCACAAAGTAAATTTATGTCTGGTTAATGATAGATAATTAGTAAAATTAGATCATATTTTAGGAAGTGTTAAAATATGATAATTAATGATGATTTTTTAAAATAGATTGTTCTCTTGTTAATTATTTTAGAGTTAGAATTTCAACATTGGGAAGTGGACACTGACTGGGCTTGTTAATTATTTCACAGATTAAATTTCAGTATTTGGGAAAATCTCTTGGCATATTTTGTTGCATAGAAACAAAGGATTCCGACTCATTAGGTGGGTGATGTCACTGCATATTGATATTGATGTATCGCTCATTTTTTTATCTGTATTGATACATATTTCCAAATATCAATACTGTAAAACGTGAAATTAATGTGTCTCCAAAAGAATGCGACCGCTGGCTCCTAGCCTAAAATGCGACTCAATATGAATGAGACACCCCCTCCTCTCAAGCATCAATGGATTTATATCTAAACAAAATGTCCTCTGTCAGGTTTACAGGAGAATCCTCACCTTAATCCAACCTTACATTAATCCAATCACACACCAAATAGCACTGCTAATTAGCGCTGAGTAGAGTACTTCGCTAAAACAATACATGCGTCCTGGCTCATGTAGGCCTTTGACGCAGTCGCAAAGAACAAAGACACTGTGTTGGGTGGGTGGCGTCTGTCTGGACTTGCAGGTGTGATCAGTGATGACATAAGTGAGTAGAACTCTTGTCTGGGCCCCAGCACTGACAATTCGCAGGCTGTAATTAGTGCTTGAATGACATTATTTATATACTTGTTAAAAGTGCTGCTCAATAAACAGTGATGTGGAATACATAGTTGTTTGTTTTTAGTGTATGTCTGAGTTGATATTTCTGCTAACCAAAATGTCTTATTGTTGATATAAATGTGATGTTTATTAATGCGAGCATAGACCCCTCGCATTTTTCGCATTGAATTCACGCTCGCGTTAATTCACGATTTACAGTATTCAATTAATAATTCACTGCCACAGAAACAGTTACTTATAATAAGACTACCATGGTTATGATGGGCCAAGAGAAGGCAGAAAATTCAATTCTTAACATGTAATGGATCAGCCAAGATCATATTTAGTATTTAATTGCAAATCTAAAGAGGTCATACACATACATAATATTAAATTTTGTTTGTTTGTTTGTTTGTTTAACACCGCACTCAGCAATATTGCAGCTATATGGCGGCGGTCTGTAAATAATCAAGTCTGGACCAGATAATTCAGTGACTTAAATGATGATCACGCAATTGGGATATGATGACATGCATCGCAAGACTGAATACCCAATCCCTTTAGTCGCAACCTACGACAGGCATAGTTGCCTTTTACGGCAAGCATGGGTTGCTGAAGACCTGTTCTACCCTGGATCTTCACGGGACCAAAATATTCTATCTTCCTATTAATCGATACATTGATATATCGTGATACTTCTCTGTCAATATATCAATATGTAAAATTTTCAATATGTAATCAGTCAGCTATAACTGAGCTTATATCTTCTAAATATATTTAATAACAAACAATGATCATGTGACGTTTGCAGCTATACACAATTACAACAACATCAAAATCTATTCAACTTGAGTGAGTGAGTGAGTTGGGTTTACCGCCGCTTTTAACAGTATTCCAGTTATATCATGGCGTGTCAGCTTTATGTGGGAGGAAGCCGGAAGTGATGCAGGTCTTAGACGTTTACCACTTCGGTGAAACCCATGAGCACCGGTATGGTGCTGACAAACCTAGAAACATAATCGGGGCGAACTGGGATTTGAACCCATTACCATAGGTATCTGGCGTGCCCAAGGGACGCAACTCTGCACAGCGAATTGCAGTGCCTTTGATGACTGGATCACCCGAGCCCCCTATCGCACTTGAACTTACAGCCCTATCCCCCTTTTTTAGTAGCAATATTTTCGATTATTTTTTGTTAAACACTGCAGTTGTCTATATTCCTGTTATATCATGGCAGTCGGTCTGGACCAGACAATCCCGCGATTATAAGCAATGATCCATGCTGTCGGAATACGATGACACACACGATCAACAAAGTCAGACCACCTGATCCAGTAAGTCGCCTCTTACATCCAGCATTATTTCTCGGAGGCAATTCTACCTGGAATCACCATGTAATAATGTCGCAATCATTGAAACAAAGCTAGATATTAACAGATGATATTAGCCACTCCAAAACTCTACCCTTACATCAAGTCTCCTTCAATACCTAACAATGTTTCTCAAAATATCAACAAATCTTTCCTCAGCATGTTAATGTGATTGAACAGTATCATGTGTCACAGTAACAAATTCAATTAACAATGTAATCCCAAATCCTAGTTCCACAACCTTCCCAAATTACTGTTCTCAAGAGTCAGATGCTCGCACACAATTGAGCTTTCTTCGTCCATCAGATCAGTTTGTGAAGGATACCGAGTGATTCCCATGTCATATAAAGGTTATGTCTATTGAGATTAATGAAAAATAATAATAATAAAAAGGTGGGTACTTATATTGCACTAGTCTCCATACAGACGGTGAATGCTCAAAGCGCCAGCCTCTATATAACTTGGTGCATGCTCAAAGAGCAAACATTATTACACCGGTCATTGGATAAGTGTGCACTCGACTTTCATTCTCAGCTCCTTGGGGAAAATACAACCCAAGCTGCCTTGTCAGGCGTTATGAGGTTAACAGTCACATTTCCATCTCATCCCACCGGGTACCCGTCTACAGCATGGTGAACAGAGGCACATTTTGGGGCTCCCTGGGGAAAATACAACCCATGCTGCCTTGTCAGGTGTTATGAGGTTAAGAGCTACATGTGCTTCAGTGTGGGGCAGGACCGAAGCCCTAGAAACTCTCAGGAGTCCCACTGCCTAAATGCGGTCACCCATCCAACAACTATCCGAGACTGACATCACTTAACTTTACCTGATCTGTGACCTGTGCGCTGTGCACCGCTGTGCACAGGACCATGTGACAACACCTCATACCTGTACTGAACTTCAGTTTGTTATCCTTCTTATTATCACTGATTATTTCTAAATAATTATCAAACAATTATGATATGTTTATTCGTCCACAAAATGAGGGAAAAGTAGGCAGGACAAAATGGATGACTTTGCTACCTTTTCACTTGGGACAAATCTGATAAGAAATGGGAAACCTGTCTACAATCTTATACATGTATCTGCCTTAAGAGACCCTAAAGAAGCTTGTAACCATGTTGTTCTTCACTGGCAGCATCATGTAACATGAAGTTACATTCATACAATGAGTCATCATATGATTTTGCGCTATCAGCTAACGCCCCATGCCAATCCTGATTGTATGACAGTCTCAATCTTTGAAAGAATTCTGACAAAAAACGTGATATATATATATATACATTGTTCTATCAAGACGTCATTTCTGGAGATTCTAACATGCGCTCGAAACTTGATGATGTCACATATTGGATGACGTTATTTTTGAGAGGGGAGTGTCTTGTGAGTTGTTCCCAAAAGATGTAGCTCGGCAACACAGATAAACGTGATGGCCGAACGATCGCATCCAAAAGCGGGAGAGATGACAATCGTCATTGGGAGAAAAGGTACAGGTAATTGACGTGAGGATTGCGAGAATATGCGGGAAATACCCACTTGTGCATAAAAAGACCTGTCCAACATGGAAGAGGTCGGATTCTATTCAGGGAGTCATATTATTAAAATACAGGGAAAAAAGGTTGAACCCCTTATGGTTTATTCTCCCTGCAGTGTTTTATTGTACGATAAACAACCCCCACTCGTCCGATATTTCTTATAGTATCTCATATTTATGTCTATATATATTTTTAATACAAACATAGGTTTCTGGGGGTTATATGCTCCAGAATCCCGACAGGGATGCCAAGGACAGGATTGGGGATGACCATGACGCTGACCGGCAGATTCCTCCTCACTCACCTCGACCCCTCTCTGTGTCCTTGATGATGCTGTGGTAGTCTTCCTCCGACTCCTTGCTGGCCTCCTCTGCACTGGACAGACAGCTCGAGGTTGCTATTGGTCGCCATGACAACCAGTTTGGAGTTTTCTTCAAGAGAGAGTTGTTCACTGGAAAAAGAACATTGAAATGACATTACCGGCATATGTCCAGAAAGTAACGAAACATGAGCTCTAGGGATGAAACAATACAGGCTGGTCATGATAGGATACGTATCACAATCAATGGGTCACGATACGATACGTATATATATGTCACATTGCGTGGGAACTTCTTGATTATAACTATTTCAGAGTGGGCTGAAAAGGAAAAGTTAGCTGTAAATGTGGAGTAAATATACTCCTATAGATCATCTGTACTGGTGAATTTGATATATAAGGAATTTGTTCCCCAATATATTGTTCCACAGGAACAAAACTCCTTGTATATCGCTTCCACTAGAACAAAAGTTCAATGGGAACATATTTACCCTCACATCGACACAATCATAGTGGCTATTTTTAGTAGTAATCTTGAAACACAAATTACAACACACTTTGCAATATTTGAATGAAAAAACATTGGGGGATCATTAAACGAGTAGTATGTAATTTATTTTAGCAAGTGTATTGTCTTGTATCGACACGGTAAATAATGTTTCGTATATCACATCATTGTATGAAAAGTTACGATGCATCGTTTGATCCCTAATGAGATCTATAACTTGTGCAACTGCGAGTACAGTCAGAAAACTTTGACGCAGACAAACCTGAACAACACAATGGTGGCACATGGTCCTGTGTACAGGTTACAGAATAGGCGACGTTACGAGGAGAGTACTAGAATGGGTGACCGTGTTTGGCAATTGATGCCTGAGAGTTTCTACGGCTTGGGTCCAACCCCACACTGAAGCACATGTAGTACATGTGATGTCTCCGTAGGCAGTTAACTGTTCACCCATCAGTGAATGAGTTTCCGGTAGGACAAGATGGTAAAGTGATTGTTCACCTTCTAGTGCCTCAAAGGGTTGGGTTGTATACTTGCCAGGGAGCTGAGAAAGATCGAGTGCACAGTGATCCATTGACTGGTGTAATAAAGGTGTCAGTGCATTGTGCATGCTTCAACGGACGGACTATAGTGCATCTATTTATTGTTATTATTATTTTCATTATTTAATGGCTCCATGTCCATAACTTTGGTCACATCATCGGTCATCAATACATCCAGTCACAAACGTAATATGTACTGAATCCCGATACGTACACGTTGTACCTAAAACCTACACGATGTCCTCTAAACTCACATCTATTAGAACCTGTTAACATTAATTTCCACAAGTTTCCACAAGTGAGTAAGTATTATGGGTTTAATGCTGCTTTGAACAGTATTCCAGTTATATGACAGCCTGTCAGCTTAATGTGGGAGGAAAGCCCGAAGTGATGCAGGCCTCAGACGTTTACCACTTTGGTGAAACCCACGAGCTGACAAACCTAGAAAGAAAATCGGGTCGAACCGGGATTCGAACCCACGATCAAAGGTTTCTGGTGTGCCCAAGGGACGCAACTCTGCAGTGAATGAAACCCATGAGCATGACAAGCCAAGACACATAATCAGGGCGAACAGGGATTCAAACCCACGATCATAGGTGTCTCTGCACAGCGAATAAACAACCCTTAAGAGGACGGTAAAGATTACTCTGTTCCATCCTCCTGGGGATCCAAGGGTAGAATTGGTTCCCAGTAACCAATGCTTGTTGAAAGTTTTGACATGGATCTGGTGGTCAGGCTCTTTGACTTGGCTGATTGCAGACATAAATGGCATGGTGTTTTCAGTCCTCGGTGTACCTGGGCCCCGTTTCACAAAGCGATCTTAGGGCTAAGTTGATTGTAACTCACAAAGTATGCGATCTTAAATTTTTGTTACGATCGGCCGCCCGTTCCACAAAGCAATCTTAACTAAGAGAGTTGTAAGTTAAGATCAAAATGCTAAGTTGCTATGGACCAACTTAGGATTGCTAAAATCGATCTTAAATATAGTACCATAACAAAAAAGATGGCGACTTTTATTATGGTGTGCAAGGAAATGCGTCGTCTGCTAAACATGACCAAGGGAGGCCACTCTAAGGGAAACTTTTGTATCTTCATGGCTGATGATTCCGATCTTTGTTAAGATCGGCTACTTAAGAACTTGTAAAGTTACAATCACCCTAAGATCGCTTAATGGAACGCTTGTAAACTTTAGCTAAGACAATTTTAAAATCGACGTAAGTCTCTAAGATTGATTGTAGTTACGATTGCTTTGTCTAGACTTGATTTTTTACAGGCCATCAATGAGTCGGCTGTGATATAGCTGGAATATTACTGACTGCGACATTAAAGAGCATATTCGCTCACTCACACCATGCCATGAACATGGACCACACACACACAGGAGCATGTAACTAATAATATTTTATACCAACAAACTCACAGACTAGGCCTTCACCTGTGAGCATATGGTATAGAATATTAGTTACATGGTCCTGAGCAATACACAATATATGTACACACAGAACATGCGTTAAATATCATAAAAATAGTTGTGACGTATACTACAGTATATTTTTACTGGATACACAAGAGTTCTGAAGCCGATGTTAGTCTGCACTATTCCAAGTTTTACCTAATATGATAGTCCTGCACCATGACCGTGGAATATATTTATTTTATGAAAAAATAACAATCTAGAAATGCATACAAAAGCAAGTCTAGCCAGCTCAAGCTAGCTCTATTCCACAGCAATAGGGAATTTTTTTATTTTTAGAGTCAAGAAGGATATTGTGTAATATAAGATTTCAGAGACTAAATGTTAGTCTACTAATATGATTACATGTGGTCTTGTCACATTGTTGGTCCTCTAAAGAAGCTGGTGATACTGAAGTGATATTCGGCTGCTTCGTTAACAAGTATACACTATGCAATCTGCGATCTAGGTCTGCACTACACCATACCATCCAAGGACAAGATGAAAAGCAAAATATACTGATTTGAATGTGTTTCATCATGTTTTGGTCGATACACAGTAAATTTGATGACATTTTAACGGTTGAAACTGTCATACCTGTGCAGATATGTTTTGTTCGTGTTGTTTGCCTTAACTGCTGACCAAACAGCCTCACGGTGCTGTGGCGACAGTGTTTTAACGCCAAGATCGACCGAGTTTGCCGACACACACATGATCTTATGGAGGCTGCCATGTTGGAAAGGTCAAATGCTTCCAGCCAATCACCGACAGCGACACAACTCCGCTAGTCCAAGCAGCTGTGGTTATTTTAGCTCCAAACGTTTGCTTCACGTGATTTACCATACTTGCTCTTTTACAGTGGAAGTTATGACTAAACCAAACATGTATTTATCTTATTGTTTTGTCCTAAATTTAGTCTTTGGGTTATTATTGGAAATATGCAGTTACATGCATTTTTTATTTATCCAGAAACCCACTTTGCTAAGAAACGAGTTATACATAAAGAGGGTAGTTGGGGTATCTTTTTAAATACTGTTACGTCATCGAGTGACCTGACTAAATCGATAAATTCATGAGTGTCGCAGCCACGGGCGAAATGTAATTTTTTCAGGTCATGTGAACATTTCAGGAATTATACGTTATCCCTCTTGATAACCAAAAGAAAATTTCACCTGAGTTTTAAATGTTTATTTCAAGTCTTTGAAAGGCATTTAGAAGTGATACACATAAGGAAGATAATTCATGGATGTCAACTTCTTTAATTATTATGAGGAACATAATGTTTCGGAATAAATGCCTACTACTCCTTCATCAGGGGACCCGTGAAGATCCGGGGTAGAATAGGTCTTCAGCAACCCATGCTTGCCATAAAAGGCGACTATGCCTGTCGTAAGATGCGACTAACGGGATCGGGTGGTCAGGCTCGCTGACTTGGCTGATGCATGTCATCGATCCCAATTGCGTGGATCGATGCTCATGATGTCAATCACTGGATTGTCTGGTCCAGACTCAGTTATTTACAGGCCGCCGTCATATAGGTGTAATATTGCCGAGTGCGGCGTTAAACAACCAACCAAACAAACAAAAAACAAATCCTTCATCAGGTGAATAAATGCTATGAGGCCGATAGCATAAATATGTACATGTAAGAACAATAAAAGAATTAGATAACAAAAGGTGGTAACTTAACAAGTGAGACCATAAGATAATTGGCGCTGATAGGTGATTAGCAATAGACAATGGAAGCCAACACTTTACAGTAATTAGCGCGAGTAGTTATGGACAACTGGAAGCCAGGATTTACATTCCATTCGCTATTGCCATGGTATTGTCACAGGTGCAAATATCGGAAAGTTATCACAGTCGATCTTTTTTGTAGATAACAATAATCCATACGAAAACACACGTCTGATACTGAAATTAATTATATGTTTTAGCATAGAACTGCATGTATTCTAATTGATGTTATTGAGGATAATGAGCGAATTCGAAGCGGCGCGATTTGGGTGCATTCTTTTGATTTTGTCAACATGAATTAAGGATTCACTGATAATAGGGTTAACAACTATGTCGATGCTAAGAATCGAACCTTGTCTTTACATTATATACTTCACATGGATATTGAGGCATATTGAAAGTGTGTGTGTGTGTGTGTGTGTGTGTGTGTGTGTGTGTGTGTGTGTGTGTGTGGCTGCTTGTACTAGTCCGGACTGATGCCGATTTATAGTGCTAGCTCACTGATATACCATGCCGCAGTTTAACATGAATACCCCACTCAGACACAGTATACTGACTCCGAGCCGACCAGTCCTTGTTTTAGCCCCTTAATGCCGAGCGCCAGACAGGGTAACAACAAGTACCATCTTTTAACGTCTTTTGGTATGACGCGGCCGGGGATCGAACTCCGGACCTTCCGCTCTCCGGGCGGACGCTCTACCACTAGACCACTATTGTGAGACAGAAAATATGACGTCGGAGATAGCGACGCGCCAGATTTCAAGCTCTCTGTTGTCCCTAAAACATTCTCATAGTCGATAACTGTGGTATTTTCTACCCAAAATGCATTGCCCCACATACTTCGAATATGGTTGTAAGTTACAATTGTACATATAACTATACCCACTAACAATTGTTGAGAAAGAAGCTACTGTGACTGGACACCTCTGTTTGAGAATCAGAATCGAGTATTTTCCAATCTCATGGTAGGATAACGATTTACACGCTCACCTGCATAGTTTACGTTTTGCGGACACTGCTGTTGCCGTAATACCGAGACAATTGTTGACGTAATACAGAGATCATTGTCGATTTATTAATACAAACGTCATTGTTGCCGTAATTAAGAGATCATTGTTGACGTAATACTGACGTCATTGCCGCTTAACAGGGCGACAATATTGACGTAATACAGACCTCATTGTTGCTGTAAACAACAGAGATCATTGTTGCCATAATGCAGAAAACATTGTTGACGTAATACAGACATCATTGTTGACGTAATACTGACGTCGCTGCTGTCTTAACAGGTCGATAATGTTGACGTAATACAGACCTAATTGTTGCTGTAAAAAAACAGAGATCATTGTTGCCATAATGCTGAAAACATTGTGGACGTAATAGAGAGATCTTTGTTGCCGTAATATCGAGATCATTGTTGCCGTAATATAGAGATCATTGTTGTCCTAATACAAAGATCATTGTTGACGTAATACAGACATCGTTGTTGCTGTAGAATACAGAGATCATTCTTGTCGTAATGCAGAGATCATAATCGATTTAGTACAGACTTCATTGTTGCCGTAAAACGGAGATCAGTGTTGTGACACAGACGACATTGTTGACGCAATACAGAGATCGTCGATTAAAACAGAAATCAATACTGCCGTAAAATTGACGTTATTGTTGCCGTAATATAGACGTCGTTGTTGACGTAATGCAGAGATCATTGTCGATTTAATACAGACGTCATTGTTGCCGCAATACATAGAGGATATTTCATGTGTCGAATGAAATATCATGTTTCTCTCATCGAGTAACGGGGAAAAAGGAGATATCACCTTTCCCCTCGTCACGAGATGAGAGAAACATGATATTTCACGAGACACATGGAACATCCTATTTATTATATACTTTTTGTGCAATTGTCTACCGGAAAATTAAACTAGTTCATTACAAATGTAAAACCTTGAAACGTTAATTCTCCCTACCTGACACAGGGACGGTTCACCACCCCTTGTATTTGCTACTTAAAAAGTAGTTTCGTATTTGAAAAATCTTAAAAAATATAAACAAAAGTATAAAAAACACATTTAGAGTCACGATAATTCTTTATCATACAGTTCGATATAATTATATTAAAAATCAACTTCAACAAAAAATATTCTTGAATACTAGGAGACCGCTGAGAGAAGCGAAAGAGTACAGGCTGGTGAAGTAAAAAAATGGCGCTTTGCGAAACGAAGAGTCTCGATTGACGAGTTAAATAAGAGATTTACAGTTTATAACGAAACATTTTCGAGAGAAGAATAAACGGTTTGAAGTGATATTAACTTCATAAATGACCATCCGTCATTATTTCGCCTTGTCAACGTGGAACTAACGTAAAAAGAACGTCAACAATTGTGTACGGGCTAGTCACTTACGACAAAGGGAAAGAATTAAAGAGGAAGGAACTCTTGTATGACAATAGTTCCGTCAAAGTGTTATGTTCACTGCAGTGAAATATCAAGTGTAATATGTTAAACATCACTTTTATCAACTTCAGAAAACTCAGTCTTTCACGCTGAAGTATATAATAAAAACGTCATTGTTGCCGTAATGCAGAGATCATTGTCAACTTTACACTGAGATCATTGTTGCCGTAAAACAGACGCCTTTGTTGCCGTAATGCAGAGATCATTGTTGTCGTAATACAGACGTCATAGTTGACGTAATACAGAGATCATTGTTGATGTCATATAGGCACCATTGTGGACGAAAAACAAAAACAACTTTGTTGACGAAATATACAGGCCAAATTGTTGACGAAATATACAGGCATCATTGTGGACGTACTGCAGGCATCATTGTAGACGTACTGCAGGCATCATTGTGGACGTAATGCAGGCAACATTGTGGACGTAATGCAGGCATTATTGTGGACGTAATGCAGGCATCATTGTTGACGTAATGCAGGCATCATTGTTGACGTAATGCAGGCATCATTGTGGACGTAATGCGGGCATCATTGTTGACGTAATACGGAAAACATTGTTGACGTAATATACAGACATCATTGTGGACGTAATGCAGGCATCATTGTGGACGTAATATACAGGCATCATTGTGGACGTAATGCAGGCATCATTGTGGACGTAATGCGGGCATCATTGTTGACGTAATACGGAAAACATTGTTTACGTAATATACAGACATCATTGTTGACGGAATGCAGGCATCATTGTGGACGTAATATACAGGCATAATTGTGGACGTAATGCAGGCATCATTGTGGACGTAAGGCAGGCATCATTGTGGACGTAATACGGAAAACATTGTGGACGTAATGCAGGCATCATTGTGGACGTAATGCAGGCATCATTGTGGACGTAATGCAGGCATCATTGTGGACGTAATGCAGGCATCATTGTGGACGTAATGCAGGAATCATTGTGGACGTACTGCAGGCATCATTGTGGACGTACTGCAGGCATCATTGTGGACGTAATGCAGGCATCATTGTGGACGTAATGCAGGCATCATTGTGGACGTAATGCAGGCAACATTGTTGACGTAATGCAGGCATCATTGTGGACGTAATGCGGGCATCATTGTGGACGTAATGCAGGCATCATTGTGGACGTAATGCAGGCATCATTGTGGACGTAATGCAGGCATCGTTGTTGACGTAATACAGACATTATTGTAGACATCAATGTTGACGTTGACGGGTCACCGAAACACAACTTCTGCACTGCAGAAAAGTTAAAATAGAACAAAAATCTTACGCTCGTTTCGTTAAATCAACACAACACACGTGGACTTACAGGATATTTGACTGATCCTGTCAAATAAGGTTAGATGTTGGTGTTACCGAGTGACCTGACAAAGTTGATATTTTCAAGAATGGCGCCGGACGAATTAAATGTCAACTCTGTCAGGACACGACCTGCGACAAGAAAGTTTTTCTGACAAGAAAAGCAAAATGTTCTATAATTTATGTTCTTACTTATCTTAAGCTGAAACCACACTATTAATGAAGCAGACTTA